TTAAACATATGTGTACTCATATTAATAATGAAATGACTTTATATATGAATCAATCAATAATAACGTATCTAAATGAAAGTGGTATGAGTGATAACACAACTTGGGCAACTGATGCAGAAATAATTGGGTGTGCCTCGTTCATGGGTATTGATATAAAAGTATATAGCAAATATGGAGAGAAGTTGAAATGGCTGACTTACCCATGTAGTTTAACACTTACACAGCTTAGTGAACATGCTATATTCCTTGACAATTCAACTGCAAGTCACTTTAATGTTGTACTGTTGTAAAATATTATCAAAAAAAAAATAATTTATAAATTATCTTCTTTTCATAATTTTTAGACATTTTTTAAATATATTTTTATTTTAAGTCTGTAAACAAATGTTTTAAAAACGTAAAAATAAGCGAATTTACAACGGTATGTAGGAGAAGGAATAAAAATGTTTGTCTTTTTAAATTTGGTGGCAATACTTTTTCATATGCCTGACTGATTCCACATTAGTAAAGCGAAAGCAAAGAATCCAGAAATAAACCTATATAACAATATGTTTAATTAAAAAAAAAATCTTAACCCTATCTGATACATGGGGTAACCTACGATAAATTTTTTTTTTTTTTTGCAGATGTGAATTGTTAAATAAAAAAAGTCAGAAAGAAATAAAAAGCTGCGATTTTCAGATTCTGCAGGTTAGCAAGGTAAACTTGTTGTTTAGAAAACTCCTTTTCTAACAAGTTTGCAACAAGTACCATAGCCTAATAGTAAAACAAAACAATTTTGGATATTCCCCTTCATTTTTTAATAAAACAAGTACACATTTTGATCAAACAAGTACTTGCATATTCTATGATCTTTAAGTTTAAAAAAGATTATCTGTAAAATTTATACTTTCACCGTTTATTTAAAATAATATAAGAAATTTTACTCCCACTAAAATGTAGAAAATAAATTAAGTTAAAAAAGTTTATTAAAAGCTTAACTTTTATAAAATATATTAATTAAGCACTATATTAACATAACGGTAAAAATATCTAATGAGAGTAAAAATCTCATAAAGGGAGTAAAAATTTCATACGCATTTTTTACTCCGCGGCACAAATTTCATATAAAATTTTTTTAGGGGAGTAAAAAAATAATGGGAGTAAAAATCTCATACTACACCGGGAATCAAGCACCGGTATCCGTTTCTGCATTTAACAGCATAAACCGCTCGGCCAAGCGAGCACTTGGTAACGTATAATTTAACTTTATTAAAACTAATATTTGCATATATATTTGAAGACGCTTTTTAAATTTGGATCTTGTGCAGCAAACAAAGAGCTTTTGGGTTTTATAAAGTATCTAAGGTACCTCCTTAGATACTTTATAAAACCCAACTTTTTTTTTTTTCCATAAACTTTTTTATTGAAAAAAAAAGTTTAGGGGGAAGGGAGTATTTCAAAAACGTACGTACTTTTTAGGTGGGGTGCAGGGTTGCCAGGTTTTTATTGACAACAAGCCAAAAATATATAAAAAATTAACCAGAAATAAACCAGAACCAAAAAAGAAATTAAGTAAAGTAGAACTATTTTATTAAAAAAATTATTTTGTTAAGTGTAAATCTTTAATACAGATAATAAAGTTTCACCACTACGTGAAGGTCGTCTTCATTTTCGCGTGCTTTTGTTGCGTAAACTTCATTTCCAACCTTTAAAATCATTGATTCGGAAATGTTAAAGTTTTTACAACAAATCTTTTGGCTCATTAAATAAGATTTTATTTGAATGACTGCATCCAACACTTGATTTGACATTCTGTTTCTCTGTTTGCTTTTCACATAGGTGACCTGTAAAAAGACTCTCTCAACAAAACAGTTAGAAATAGGAACACACAGAAAAGCAAGGCAGTAGTCGGAAATGTCGCGAAAAGCGGGTTGTCCAAAAGTGTCGACATAGTTCCTTAAAGCTATCCAGAATTCAGCAGTATTTTTAGGAACTTCTTTTTCTTTAAAAATGGCAGACTCAGTCCATTCAACTTACTCACTTTTCTGTATTGGTTTTCAATTTCTTGACTTTTTGTACCCATTAGGTGGGGAAAAGGTAGCTTTGAAAATGGAACCTTCTCAACAAAGAACTTTCATTGAAGACAGATTTGACAAGCCGTGAAAAATTGATCTATTCTCTGGTAGTCTTTTTTCAAGCTTGGTTATAGCCTTTTGAAGAAAATCATGACACCGAATTTTTACAATTTTGACCAATTCTTCAGCATTCAGTTTTGCATTTGGAGGTTGCATTTGGAGACTCCAAAATCAACACACTGTAGAGGAAGTACAAAGCCCTTGGTATCAAAAACACGCTGCTTTAAGCTTTTGAGATGCATATTTAGCTCACTCATTAGATCTTCTGGATCAACATTTGACCCTTGAAAGAGAGAGTTTAGACGCTCAAACTCTTGAATGACTGGAGAGAGAAAAACAACATAGAGGTAAAGGGTTCTGTCTTGGAACATTTTGCTTATTGAAGAGATTTTGTAATGGACATCAGAGTTTGCATTCATTTCAGCACAAATAAAGAATACTTTTAGTTCTTGCCAATTTACAAGCAAGTTATAAAAACACTTTCCTCGAACCAACCAACGAGTTGCAGAAAACTTTTAGGGGATGGGGTTCCCACGCGTTCATTGTTTGGATTCATGAGTTAAAATAGTTTTTCATATTCGTTTCGACGAAGAATGCTCTTGTTAAAAAACCGGGGTACCTTGCTCAGAAGAAAACCGACTGGAGATGGAATTGTATTAAAAACCACAAGGTTTAGTGAGTGAAAAATGCACCTCATCATAATATAGTTAGGCGGTTTAGTTAGTACACGAGACCAGACTGAATTATGTATGCCAATAACGTTTGAAGCACCATCTGAGCCGTATCCAATGTATTTTTTAAAAGTAAATACAATAGAGTGGAGTTAATAATTCGAAGCATTAAAGAGATCTTCGCCAGTTGTTGAAATCACTTCAATGAGTCCAAGAAAGTAATCGACAATCTGTTTCTCTTTTTCTGAAAAATATCTCACTCATATTGCAAGGTGCAATATGCGTGAACTCACATCCGTTGATTCATCAATGAGAATGGAAAACGGTTTTGATTTGGTTTCTTTAGATATTTCTTCTTCTAGAGTCGATGAGATGACATTCTGATTTACTTTAGTGCACTTAGTGCCGTGGAGTTTTAGATGTTTCAGGGAAATGTCTACACCAAACTTTATAGAAATAATTTTCACACAAATAGTCAGCGGTTGAAATTACTGAGTGACAGCAGATACACATAGCCAGCTGATGTCTGCTTTTTTGTTTGCACCTCAAATTTTTACTTGACCCGGAAAATCTTCTTTTGAAATGGATTCAAGGTTGTTTCTCTTTTAATGTGTGAAACTGCTTTTTGATGTTGCTCTAGGCTATCTTTGTGTGGACGTAGATTAGTGCGGCAAAGGCGACAAATAGCTTTTTCAGATGCATCAGAGCTTTTTTTTACCCAGGTAAATTCTTTTTCTCACTCACTTTGATAACTACGAGAGTTTTCATATAATTTTTTGTTTGGCATAGTCAATTTAAAGATGTTAATCTAAAACAAAAAATCAAGTATAAGCTACAGATTATTAAACTTAATAACCAATAGGTCTGATCAATTTTAAAATTAGATATTTTAAGAAGAAAACAAAAATTAATTAGTTGTTATTTGAATATATTCAAATAACAACTAATTTAGCACGAATTATCAAGAAGAATCAAAAATAAATTAGTTGTTATTTGAATATATTCAAATAACAACTAATTTATTTTTGCTTTCTTCTTAAAATATCTAATTTTAAAATTGATCAGACCTATTGGTTATTAAGTTTAATAATCTGTAGCTTATACTTGATTTTTTGTTTTAAAGTGAAATACTTTACTTAAGAGTCATTTTTTGTAAGAATCAGGCAGTCAATGGAAGTGACCTCTTCCAAATTGCTTGAATTTTTTTATATATTGATCAGAATATAGAGAAAACCTGTTCGGGAAAAAAAAATTTTTAAAAATGTTTCGTTCACTCGGAATCTGGGCTTAAATTTTTGAGACTTTTTTAAAAATTTTTAGAAATTTAGTTTTTGCCACCTTTGAACTCATTTTTTTGGCAAGTCAAAAAGTTGCACATAGCTTTTGTAGTTAATATCAGACGTAACCCAAAAGCTCTCTCCAAAAAATATAAAATAGTTGCGTGACACTGGGCGGTTGGCTAATTATCATAGTTCAAAAGTACAAAATCAATCAGTTTTGTCAATTTTTAATCGGAGTTAATTCTAGCGGCGAAGTGTTGCACACAATTTTTCTTTTAGGATTTGAAATTATCAAAGGTATTGAGTCTAAAGATGCAAAGAAAGTTATGTGATACCTAAGGCTTATTAATATATTAAGGCTTGAAATTGGAAAAAAATGTTAGAGTATACTTACAAAATAAGCTATTACGGCAGAGGCGCTAAGTTTTGTAAAAATATAATAATGTTAAATGGTCAATATAAGATGACCCTAACATAGTTTAAAAAAAAACTCATGTAATCTTTAGATATTAAGTTAAAAATAAAGGTACAAATTGTTAAAAATGATTAAGTACGAAGAGATATTTTTTTGGACACACAGATGAGGTTTTTGCTCACAATAAAATTTCTATCATCCAAAATTAGCAATTAGCATTACACAAAACATTGCACGTAATGTTAAGAAAAAATTTAAGCGTTTCTGACTATGATATAGAAATCATAACAATTGAAATAAATAATAAAAAAAAAACAATACATGATCAGAAGTGAATTATTTAAATTTACGTCATAACCAAATAACTTGTGGTGATCGAATGGAAGAAGATTCTTCTTGATAATTCGTGCTGATACCACGACTGTGGAGAAACAAGTTAGTGGGCGGTTGTTTACTTTACCATAAAAATGTCTTAACTTTATTTTAACGATCTTTAAAATTTGCATAAATGGAGTAGATATTTTATCATTGCTATTGAGAAATAGGTACTGCATAAATAGAACTTGTTTTTAGTTGAGTATGGAACAAAACAAATATTTTTATGAAAACTGTTGTTGCTTTTCAAAAGAAAATTGTGGATCATTCAAAAAACATAAAATTATAAACAAAATGTTCTACATTCATCAGCTGGGAGATGTTGATGTTAAGAAACACCTCATCAACTTAAAGGTAATTATGTATTTTAAATTTACCCAGACTGTAATATAATTTTTATAATTAAATACTTTATAACTTCTCTGCAATAAGATTTTGAGACAAAGTTCTTTAAACAAAAAAAAATAGCTCTTTTAATTAATTCCTCACTCTTTTAATAAATAATCACTAAATCAATCGCACTCTTGCAATATTGTTTTTTAACAATAACAACAATGTATTTCAAACTTGTAAACATTTTTCGTGAAGAGTCAGATTATAAACAATGCTTTAAATGACACACTTAATAATTGTTTAAAAAATTGTTTTTAGGTCATGCGATTAAACGATAATAATATTTGGGAAGAAAATGGACTTATTGCAAATAGACTTAAAAGAAATCTTGAAAAGGATGAACAAATATGTGCTTTTCACCGGTACACGTTTGGTATTGCATGGAGTCCTCCAAAAACATGCTTTCATCCTCACCATCTAAATATAAAAGGAAAAAAATCTCCCGCTTTAAGGGCGTCACCAATACATGTCGTCATATCAATGTCAAAGCGATACAATGAAGTATTTTCAGTTGGTGCAATGCTGTGTTTTACCCATTTAAAGCAAGAAACTGCTTTATCTAGAGTCAACGAAAACACCAATTTATGTACAGAAACACAAACACAACAAGAACAAACATATATGACACCTGCTACTCCAGATGAAGAATTTGATCCCGGTAAAATTAATGTTTCACAGGAGACTTTGGACGAATCTCTAAGAAGCCGTGAGAGTGTAACTGAGGTTCTTAATGCAAGTCCAATAAAATTTAGATTAAAAAGGAAGTTCGAATATCTGGAAGATACTACTAAAGATAAGTTAAAACGCAAGTATGTTCGCCTAGATAACTTATTAAAGAAAAAATTTGCGGAAGCTGTTGCTCCTGGAAAAGAGGAAATACTTAGATTTTCTTAACAGTAAAAATGTTGATGAAATAAATAGCCGTCTCCCAATTGAAATTATTCGTGCTCAGAAAGTATATAAGCAAAGTGATTCTATGGGAAAGTTAGTTATCCTCTCATTATTAGACCATACCAAGTATACCAAAAAGTTTATAATAAACACATTTGAGTGTACCAAACATCGTATAGAAACAGGAAGAAAATGGCATGCATCTCATAAAGGGTTGGCATTTCCAGAGAAGAAAGTATTCGTCCGATCTAGTCTTGATCAAACAAAGTGTGAACATTTCTTAGACTTTATATTTACAAGCGGTATTTTGCATGATGTTGCTTATGGAATAACCAAATTAAAATACGACAGCGGTGAAGAACAAAAGATAGTGCATGCAATACTGACGACAAAATATAGACACGCTATCATGTTCTATCGAAAAAGTTGTAGTGAAAACAATTATATACCATTATCTGATTCAAGTTTGTGGAAAGTATTGCATGCAATAAAACCTTCAAGTCGAAAAAGCTTAGCTGGATTAGATGATGTTACTGCTTCAGGCATGAATGGTTTTCAAACATTACAAAAATTGGTACAAAGATTTAGTTCTAAATCTCTCGAAGCTGCCCTTGAAAAAGGAAAAAGGTATTTGAAAACAAGTTATCAAACCAATTGTAGTGTCAATGACTCAAACATTTCTTCTCATAGCTCAAAACATGCCTTATCAGATCCATCTGAAAAAAATCTTCAATCCAACACAGAGATATCAAAAGTGGTATGTGCCGATTGCTATGATTTGTGCAAAGCTATCGAGATGATCTAAGAACTAACAATTCAAAATTCTGACGATGCTGATTTTATTTATGATTTGGAAATTGCTGTAAAGGATGTATTCAACTACATAAAACACCTGATGAGAGATTCTCAACAGAAAAAGGCAAAAATCGAAGCTTTTAAGCAATTAAACAATGAAACTGCTTTCTGGCTTAAAGATTTTTGTCAAAAATTCTTCCGGTTCAATACAGAGAGGGCCAAAGAGAGTATTTTGGCAAGAAAGGAATGAGTTTATATGATGATATATTCTTCATAAAAATAGCAGGAAAGTTATTCAAACGTGTTTACTTTACTTCAATGTATAGGTGTGATCAGGGAATAGGTGATGTTGTTTCGTTAGCCACTGCAGTTTTAGACTAATTCAGAATTGATCAACCGCATATCAAGAAAATGTTTACCAAATCTGATAATGCCGGCTGCTATCAGGGAAATCTTTCAGCTGAAGCAATCTACAATGTATGCAAAGAGAGAGATATAAAGTTGCTGAGATATGATTATAATGAACCCTGTTGTGGAAAAGATAAATGTGACAGGGAGAGAGCAGTTGTAAAGACAATTTTAAGGAGTTACGTTGACTCTGGTAATAACCTTTTGACTGCTGAAGATATACACAAGGCTATGCATTATAGTTTTATTAAATTTTGTACACGGACAGGGTCCGTGTACTGGTTGGAACACTTTGAGCCGTAATAGCTTGAGGGAAATAAAGAAAATTAAATTAGTAAGTTTAAGTGTTAGCATCAGATTATCAAAATTGGACACATGTCCAGTACAAAATTATAGTTTCAGTAGATGAAGAAGGAACACAATAAAAATCTATACTGGCAAAGGTAAGAACTAACTAATCAAAATATAAAACTATATTACTAAGCTGACTAACGTATAAATAACATATACAAAATTAGATTTACGAGTAATTTAAAACCGGGGTAGAGTTTGAGTTTAAGTAATCTAGCAACTAGGAATTTGTCATTTTATTTACGACTCATCCACAATATTCTCGCCCCAAGACTTTTGCTTTTGATCACAATTTCAGGTTTAAAAGTCTAGCCAATATGAGTCTGTCGTTTTATATAGAATTTTAGCAAAGCAGTCTCGTCTTAATTTGTTCACTTTTATTATCACTTTGCTGAGGTTAGGTTCTCTAGCCAATAGGAAATTGTCGTTTTATATCTTTACATGTTGATCTTACCTAAGTTATTTCACTTCTATTACCACAGTTATTATCACAGTTTTATTCATAAGTGATCTAGCCAATAGGAATTTGTTGTTTTATATAGGATTCCCATACGGTAGTCTCGCCTAAGTTAATACACCTTTAATAATACATCTCTGAGGTTAAGTCATCTAGCCAATAGGAATTTGTCGTTTTATCTAGAATTTTAACAGAGTAGTCTATTCTAAGTTATTTAACTTTCAAAATCATATTTTTGAGGTCAGGTTATCTAGCCAACAGGAATTTGTCGTTTTATTAAAGATGTCACCTTCTTGTCCCCATGATTTTAGGTTCTAGAAATTGGCCAATAGTAATCTGTCGTTTTATATAAGATCATTACAAAATGGTCTTGCCTAACTTATTTCACTTTTATCATCACAGTTTTAATCTCAAGAATTCTAGCGAATAGGAATTTGTTGTTTTATATAGGGTTCTTACACGGTAGACTCGCCCAAGTTAATTCACTTTCAATAACATATCTCTGAGGTTAAGTCATCCAGCCAATAGGAATTTGTCGTTTTATTTACGCCCTATCCCACAGTATTCACGCCAAGAAAATTTTGCATCACGATTTCAGGTTTGGAAGTCTGGCCAATATAAGTTTAGCCATAATGAAAGTGGTCTTGCCTAAATTATTTCACATTTCAGTATCACTTTTTTGAGATTAGGTTATCTAGCCAATAGGAATTTGTCGTTTTATATAAGATCTTTAAAAAGTGGTCTCGCCTAAGTTATTTCACTTTTATCATCACAGCTTTAATTTTAAGTAATCTAGCCAATAAGAATTTGTCGTTTTTTTATTAGAGTCTTACACGGTAGTCTCGCCTAAGTTAGTTCACTTTCAAAAACATATCTCCGAGGTTAAGTCATCTAGCCAATAGGAATTTGTCGTTTTATATAAGATCTTTAAAAAGTGGTCTCGCCTAAGTTATTTCACTTTTATCATCACAGCTTTAATTTTAAGTAATCTAGCCAATAGGAATTTGTCGTTTTTTTATTAGAGTCTTACACGGTAGTCTCGCCTAAGTCAGTTCACTTTCAAAAACATATCTCCGAGGCTAAGCCATCTAGCCAATAGGACTTTGTCGTTTTATATAAGATCTTCAAAAAGTGGTCAAGCCTAAGTTATTTCACTTTTATCATCACAGCTTTAATTTTAAGTAATCTAGCCAATAAGAGTTTGTCGTTTTTTTATTAGAGTCTTTCACGGTAGTCTCGCCTAAGTTAGTTCACTTTCAAAAACATATCTCTGAGGTTAAGTCATCTAGCCAATAGGAATTTGTCGTTTTATATAAGATCTTCAAAAAGTGGTCACGCCTAAGTTATTTCACTTTTATCATCACAGCTTTAATTTTAAGTAATCTAGCCAATAGGAATTTGTCGTTTTTTTATAAGAGTCTCACACGGTAGTCTCGCCTAAGTTAGTTCACTTTCAAAAACATATCTCTGAGGTTAAGTCATCAAGCCAATAGGAATTTGTCGTTTTATATAAGATCTTTAAAAAGTGGTCTCGCCTAAGTTATTTCACTTTTATCATCACAGCTTTAATTTTAAGTAATCTAGCCAATAGGAATTTGTCGTTTTTTTATAAGAGTCTTACACGGTAGTCTCGCCTAAGTTAGTTCACTTTCAAAAACATATCTCCGAGGTTAAGTCATCTAGCCAATAGGAATTTGTCGTTTTATATAAGATCTTTAAAAAGTGGTCCCGCCTAAGTTATTTCACTTTTATCATCACAGCTTTAATTTTAAGTAATCTAGCCAGTAGGAATTTGTCGTTTTATATAAGATCTTTACAAAGTAGTCTTGCCTAAGTTATTTTATTTTTAATATTACATTTTTGAGGTCGGGTAATCTAGCCCGTATGAATTTGCAGTTTTATTTTGAACATAGCTTTCTTGTGGTTGACTTTAGTAGGAGTTCGTACCGGACCAAGCATTTCTAATGTAGACTATATTTATCGCAGTCATTAGGGTCAGTGAGTTTTTAGTTAAAGAGATGAACTCTAGCGCTTTTAAGGTCAAAAAAGTTGTATATGCAAAATTCATGCTGAGCTAGGATTCGAACCCCACAATGTCAGACTACTTGGTGCGAAAGGCGGATCGCTAACTGTTTACGCTAAATGACTTGGCGCAGTTGAAAAGTAATTTAAATATCTTTAATAATTATTAATACGCATCTAACGCAAAAACAAAACAAATATACTACAGTTATTAAACCAAATATCATACACTAATAGAAAAAAAAATGTAATAAGATAACAAGGCAAGTAAAAAAAAAAAAAAAAAAAAAAAAAAAAAAAAAAAAAAGTATAAACACAAAAGTGAAATGTGCAATGTTGTGTGTGCGAGCCAGGGCCCTGGTGTTTAAGCGTAAATTCATAATTAAGTAGTGGTTTTACCTGTGACGCCCTCCTCAGAACCATGCATGTGTCACAGATGACGTTTCGGGCAGCAATAGTATCAGAGACATAACGCCAATCGTCAAAGGCGTATCATCGTTTTTGATACTACTACCCATGATTTACGTCATGCTAGTCCTATCGCGATAGTTATGACCTCACTACTAGAAAAGCCAAATCCTTTCCCTAGCCCTAATTATATATAACACCAGTGTCCTCCGATAATGATGTCATGGCGGTCAAGCTTGGATCTGAAGTGTGAAAAGCTGTGATTATAAATATGTCATGAACATATTTAGAATTAATCTACACATATGTCTATAATCATACCAAATATATACATATGTGTGTTCATACATAAGAGCTTCCTTATGTATGCTGGTGTCTATTAAGACTATAGCGAATAAAAAACAAAAGCAAGTATAATAAATCGATATAGGAATGAGTAAGAACTAAGAACACTCACCATCTTTTATTAGATTAATCGGTTAGCAGAGTACCCCCAGTTAAGCAAAGTTAACAAAACAGTATCTACACTTGTATGTTTGTATAATAACTAATATCTATGACTCCATATGTGAAAAGCCACGCTGCAGTGAAAACCTCAACGTGTACTATTAACAACAGTGGCGCGAAGACGTCAATATATTAAATAAGAAGTTTTTAGTATAATTAGGTCCCTTGGGAGATTAAAATGAATGAAAGTAAAAAACTTTCTTTTAGATACACGACAAACGGAGATAATCGAGTGAAGTTTTGACATGTTATATATCGAGACCATGCCAGCTCTTAGGTACGGGTGACAATAAATCTTATGGTTGCGGTAGTTCACTTACTGATTCTTAGCGGTACAAGATTTTGCTGTGAATTTACCAGTTCTCTGAGTCTATCTTGTTATCATACAAATGGTTTCTATTGAAATCTTTTAATTTTAAACATATTTATTTGGCGCGAAACGGTAAATCTAGCGCAGAACGCGGCTTAGGAGGAAACTGACCAATTCAGACCAGCGCATAGAACATTTTTAACGTTATCTACTAAAATCAAACTAAAAAGTAAAGGGAAGGAAGGATTTAAAGTGAAGTAGTTAAAACACAGACAGGTAGTATACTAATAATAAATTGTATAAATCAATAAAAAGAACAAAAAGGAAACAAATGGTCGGAAAGATTTAGTGTCGTCAGGATTAGTGTTGGAAGAAGTCGTTGCTCAGTGAAACCACAGCTCCCCTGAAAGAGGAACGAGATATATATTTTTATTAAATTTTGTACACGGACAGGGTCCGTGTACTGGTTGGAACACTTTGAGCCGTAATAGCTTGAGGGAAATAAAGAAAATTAAATTAGTAAGTTTAAGTGTTAGCATCAGATTATCAAAATTGGACACAT